GCTGCTTTCAGGAAGAGAATGTGGCTGTCAGGAGGGTCCAGCTTGGAAAAGAGGATAAAAATGATTTTATTAAATGTATATAAGTGTAAAGATTGATCCTGCTAGTCAATATTTGATTTATAGGAGGACAAAAAAATGCTGAATGTTTAGGAATACAAAAGAGATCAGTGAGCTGTGTTTTGAAGAAGCTGCTATTGCTAACCTGTAAGTGTTGTTCTGTGGTGACCCAGTGACCTCCAACTGAAAGAAGGGTAAGGAGGTCATGTTTATGTGGGCAATGCCTCTGTGCTTCTGGCTCCTCATCATAGAGTCTCACTGTTCACCAAAAATAAAAAAGGCTCAAAATCAGAGACTGCTGATTGAAAATGAACATGTATACACTGCGTTTGAACGTTTGGGGTCAATACAATTTAAAAAAATAAAAATAATACATTTATTTAGCAAGTAACAGCAAGGTCTTTACTTTTATGACAGTAAAAACTCTTACATTGTTACCAAAAACTCTATTTCAAATGAGTGCTGCTCTTTGGAACTTTCTATTCATCAAAGAATCCTGAAAAGAAAGTATCGTATTTGTAGAATGTTTCCACAAAAATATTAATCAACGCAACTTTTTCAACATAATAAATAATAAGAAGTTTCTTCAGCATATTTAAATCATTTCTGAAGGATCGTGTGACAGTAAAGACTGTAATAAAGGCTGCTGAAAATTCAGCTTTGCCATCACATTAAAATAAAAACAAATTAAAAAATATTTCACAATATTACTGTTTTTACTGTAGTTTGATCAAATAAACGCAGCATCGGTGAACATAAGAGACATGATTTAGGTTGATTTAATGTTCAAAAGCATTAAAAATCTTACCAACCCCAAACTTTTGAACAGTAAAATATGTATTTAAATAATAAATTGATATTGCAACACAACTGCGTAATGGACAGAAGATCAGTATTAATATAAATAATTAAAAGCACATATGAGACCACTTTGTTGAAATGGTTACAAATGTCATATAAAGTGATGGTAAACCTCCTGAATCAATGATGATGTCCACTCCAAGACCTCCAGTTTCTTCAAGGCACGAGTCCACCAAATCCTCCTTTGAGTCCCACACTCTGATCACTCGAGCTGAAGGAAGAGATACACTTAAGTACCGATGCTTACAATAAATCTTATTAACATTGATTAAGCATATCAAGCTGAGAGTGCATATACCGAATGACTATTCTCAAAGAATAGATTTGTTGTGAGGCTTATGTGAATATGATAGCCTGAATGAACACTTATAGAAGAGACTGCTGCCATAAATAACTTACCCAAAAGTGATTCCTGCACACCTTGAGCAAGTGCAAGTGGCACAAGGAAGAAACAAGATGAAAAAGAAAGTCAAATAGCCAAGAAAGACAAAAAGATGCTCAAGGGAGAAGTGAAAAGATGAGAAAGGCACTATCAGAAAAGGTTTGGCAATCAATATGAGTGAGTTTAAAGAAAGACAGAAATCTACGACAAATGAAATCAGTTTTGATTTCCAGAGTAAAGGATGGGGTTAGAAACTCTGAACTGCCAGCATTACAACACATCTTTGAAGTATGAGAAAATGCCCTCGGCGACAATCCAAACTTAAAGATTTCTACATTCGATTAGACTTGAATAAATTTGAGACTTTCCACTTGTACATAAAATGATCCCAGTGTGATGCTTTTCATATGCTCAGGAAATAAATCCACATTGCGTACCGTAAATATGAGAGGTAAACTTTACAAGAGATAACAACTGAAGATTAAAAGAGAGTTGCTCCATTTGGCATTTCCGTTTGTTTGGCGTTTATCAGGGATTTTCAGAACAACTCATGCCAAGTGTTTCATAAATCTACACTGCCAGTGAAGCGCTTAGTCAAACCAAGCTTAAACTTCATCCTAAGCTTCATGGGGAAAATGTCTTCGCTGTCATTCCTCTCCACAATGCTTCACTTCAGCACCCACCCACACTCGGACGGAGCTCTTCCAAAAACTTCTGGTCCTCCGGAGACAAAGCTGTAGCCAGGACTTTCACACCGTGATAGTGGGCGAGCTGAATAGCCAGAACTCCAAAGGGCTGCATGCACACAAAACCGGAAGTTAATGATAATGATTTGAGATTTTGAAAATAGGGAGCCAAATAATACAACCATGTTGATTCTGATGTGAGAAAATAGCTAAATAATAACAACAAAATCCATTTTCAAAATATCAGAAAAATCTTACCAACCCCAAATCTGAACAGTAGAGTATATACTAATCGGAGGCAAGCATCAGGAAGGTTTTTGACCTTTTGACCTCTGCACAGATACCTACACCAGCCCCATCCAGCACCAGTACAGTCTGACCCGCGGCCATCCGAGCCAGTGTGTGGAGAGCAGTGTAAGCCCTGAGACCGTCTTTAATTACTGCTGCTGCTTCAAACCAGCTCACTTTCTCAGGCTTCTGAACTGTTATTAAAACAGAAGCATATGGGAAATACAAAAGGTAGTGTATCTTTAAAGAAACTAGGTAGGACTATTGTCTATAATGTGATGTGTGCAATACCTAAATTATATTCATCAGTAACCACAACAGAACAAAGGCCAGACTGCTCAGCCTCCAGAGGGAGAATCCCTGAGATGACATGCAAATGTTTATTTGATTATACACATATAAAGCAGACTCTGATAAAAATGAGAGTCTAATAAAGTTCTTACCAACAACCTCATCATCTGGCTGGAAAAAGGTCACTTTGGGTCCAACTGGAAAATGATCACATCACATCAAGATTTATCAGTCAAATTTATTTGATAAGATGGTAAATGGTAATGGTGTCAAATATACAAGAAGTCATGTAAACCTTGAAGAACAACCCCAGCAATCTCCCTTCCAACTGGGACATGTTCTTTCTCAAGCTTGAGGTCCCCATACAGCTGAAAAACAGATCATGAATGCAAATATTCTGTATGAAAGTAAAACACAGTTTGTGAAATGAGGGTGATCTTTGCCTAAATAATGTCCATATGAGACACGTGCCTTGAGATTTGTTATTATATACCCAGTTGCTTTTCTGCAGGCCATTCACATCAAATCACCAGATGTTGACAATTAAATTACCTTAAAATCAACTGGACTTAGTGCACAGCTTTTCACTTGAACATTGACCTGATGGTCGCCAATGTTAGTGGGTACATTCTGTGAAAGAAAACAACGGACATCATGCATTTAGTACGAATTGATTATTACAGATTTCTCCAGGAAACTGTGGCTATGTAAATGCATGCAACAGAAAATGCAAAAGCATGATCATGCACTCTCACCGTCTCCTGTGAGACAAACTTCACATCACCCTGGTCTCCTGGTTTGCAGTAAAGTCCCTTCATGGCAATTCTAGCTGTTCTGTAATCAGATGAATCGATGCCCAATGAAAGATTAACACAAGCAACAGCAACAAGCTGAATGAAATACTGTATTAATACTATTATTATAATAATATGCAATACAGAACACTCTCTAAAGAAATTCACCACATTTTGTGTGTGTTTGCACTTGAACTGTGCAAGTTAAAGAATATAAGATCCAAATCATGCAGAATACGATTGCATACCAACTGAGCTACTTGTTTTACTTTGCAATATCCCTATCGCGATTCTCTGTTTAAAGCATCAAGATCGGTGTTATAATATCTTCTTATGTTATGCTATATCATATTTTTGCATGCAAGAGTATTTTAGAACCTACCAACATATAGACGACTGCGGTAGTGTTTTGTTCATTTCCTGCACGTGACTCCTCCTGTGTGACGTAGGTGGAGTAGAAATATAAACGCACAGAAGGGAAACGAGAACATCTCACAGCACAATCGGATGTGTGAGGGATTAGGTTAGGTTAGGTTGTTTATTTCCACTAAATATATGTCCTCAGTGAATCTAAAATATAGAGACCGAAGTAATCTAAATAATATAAATACATTTTAAATCAAGAAATAATTAAATAAATCAATGAAATGTAACATTTTATTTCTAATAGTAAATGAAAACACAGCAGTAACGTCCTGAGAAGTCGATGGGCTCAGCTTTCTGAGTTAGCAATGCTTGAATCGTAAACGATCTTAAACGATTAAACTCGAGTCGAGTAAACGACTCTCACGTGAAGCGAGAACTTTCGGACCGATTCGTAATTAGCCGAGAATGAACTGATATTAAGAGCAGAGTGTGCTGATTAAGAGTTAAGTAATTTACTTTAATAACCGTAGAAATATTACAAATAAAAATACTGAAAATATGTTTTCTACTTTACTGTATGTGTGGAGGAAAAAAAAGTTTTTTATTTCCATTCCACTAATATATACGCATCTAAATCTATAAACTGTCTAGTTGTCTTGTCAATACATTGAATATCATGCTGCGTTCAAGTCCTCCTGGGACGTTCGTACTTACAAGTTGACAAGTCGTAATTACGACGTCAGGTGCGTTCAAGTCAGTTTAGTCGGCACAAGATGGCGGTGTACCTAATTTTAATAAATCACAAGAAAATACAACAGGGTCTGTTAACTCTGCTTAAAGAAAATGAAGAGCAAAGAATTCGCATCAGGTGTGTTTTGCGTTTTTAATATATTTTTTTAGACTAGGATCCCAGTATAACTGATTTTCAGCAT